TACCATGCCACCATTCCTACGTATTTTTGCCGCCATCTCCCAGTCGTCATCAAGCCCTGAGACTGGTAACGTTGCCGGGCCAAACTCGGAATTCATGCTTCTGGTTCTTCGCTCTCTTACGGCGGCCGCAACGGCTGTTGCCCGTCTGGTACGCAGCTATCGCCGCGGCCATGGTTTCGAGGAGCCTGCGAATCCGCTGATCATTCATCACCTCCTCAGTGCAGCCGTCGTTCATCTGATGAATGCGACGAGCCGGAATCCAGCCCTTCGACATCAAAGCACACACTGGCTCCGCCAATGTCTCGAGCTTCTACGGGAGCTGGAAACATCATGGCCGCTGCGTGCAGGCAAAAGCGTGATGATCATCCGCATCTTGGCTCAGCGTTGGGGAGTTATGAGAGCTTTGCCAGCAGAGCTTAGTTATCAGGTCGACCTTTCAGTACCAGGAAGCGAGAGAGACTTTGGCAAAGCCGGTGTGCAAAGGAACAAGGCAGCAGAAGAACCCGAACCGGGCCTGGATAATACTGTCAACCCAGTGGAATTCGAATACGAATGGGGTGCATACACCGCTTCAACAAGCGATGCAGCACCGCCGGTGGATATTGCTACTTTGGATATGAACTCTTTCGCGTCGCTGGGAACTCTTGACATGTCTGTATTGGGCGGAAATTACGCTACCGATCCTCGTTCTGCCGATGTTCTGCAAGTATTCCAAGGGTTGAGGGATTGCGAGAATTTCAGTTGGCTGACAAGCGACAATGCTTTGTGAGCAAAATCAAGAACAAAATGCAAGACATCACACCATAAACAAACCAAGCCATTCCTTATCTGGACTTGGACAATCCCATAACATCAATAGTCTGTAATAATTTGCTTGTCCCACAGTACGAGCACACACACTCAGAGGGGAAGCATAGCCTCCTCCTTTGGCTGTTTCTCGATGCTCCTATCCGATCTCACTACGGCATGGATCTCCGTGTTGACGCTTAGTCTCAGAAGGTCTGGTCTACTGTAGTGGCCTGTACAGTCCGCGAACATCTTCGCTCTGTTGATCGAATCCATATCCAAGTCGGCGTAAATAATAGTCTCTGTCGTCTCATCAACGGCTTCCGTCAGATGGCGACCATCCGGACCAAAGATGGCAGAACTACCTCCGCCGGGGTTGCACATCATGAGGCCATGGGAGCTGCCGTGTGTCTCGATTCCTCTATTGGTGATCAAAGCTGTGCAGTGAAGAACAAACGCGCTTGCTTCGATTGCATAAGTACGAGAGAGTGTTTGACAACCTTTGTATTCGGCTATTAGCACCGGAACGTCGGAACTGACAGACATTTCGGAATCCTATCACCTACCTTCCGCACTCATCGACCACATGTCTGGGCCAGTACCAGAGTGGGGTGTGACGCTCGGCCACGCCGCGACGTGAATCTGTTCTTGCTGGACGATGGTGTTGTATTTCAAAAGAGGCTGAATGTGCTCCCAGCAAGCCAGAGAACCAACCCGGGCAAAGGACAGGTCACCCACGCTCTGCAAGCAGTGACCAGAAGCATCTCCAAAGATGGTTCGCTCCATATGCGTCGGCTTCATTTTCCGACGGTGCACTTTGATCTCACCATCCTGACCGATCAGGGCTTGGGCGATGAAAAGCGAGTTGTTGTCGTTTTCGGAGAATCCGATGGAGACAGCAATATTGCTGTCTTTGGCACAGGCTTTGATGGCGGCCATCTCGGGAGAGTCCAGCTGTAGAGAGTTCTTCATGTAACGAACGTTGAGGTCGAAGTCGAGAAGACGGCTCCAGATCCAAACTGGATAGCCGGGGATCCAGCACTCGGGAAATGCGATGAGTTGGGCGCCGTTCGCAGCGGCCTCCTTCATCAGCGTACATGTCTTTTCAACAGAAGCCGGTAGGTCAATCCATGCGGGCTCAGCCTGAGTGACTGCGACTTTGACACTTCGGGTCGACATTGTGACTGAGTGAAATATGATGCGATGTAAAACAAAGATTGGGGGTAGAAATCCGGAGCAGGTATGTAAGATGTCTGACTGCAGATAAACAGCAAGCCTAGCCAAGTCTGACGTGGCATCGGCGTTCTCTCGGCGGGACCCTGTTCAGTGACTAGGGAAACGAGGGGCTGTCACCTTGCTATGTTCAACGGATTCGCTGATAACGAGGAGAGTGCTGCACATAATTATCGCGGCTGAAGTTTAATGACTTTTCGTCTGGCACTTGTGGGCTCTTATGCAGTCACCCCAGCGCGGACTGCCGACCTCCGCAACGATATTCTTTCTCACTCGACTTGGGAGGTGTAACCAAGCTAGCAGATCAACAGTACAAGTTGCCCCTCTCGCGATTCCTCAGATAGGTGCTGTATGATGGACGTAATGGTCTATTCGACGAGTACAAAATTGCAAACCCCATTGCAGGAATGATTGCAGTATTTTATGGACGCTAAAACCAAAGCCATCACTACCCATAGCGCCCCCTCCCCCAACATAATTTGACTACAATGAAAGGGCGATAGCGCCGCGGATCAATATGCACCGCCTTCCCAAGGCCGATCGAAGCGAGTTCCTTGAGACCCTTCTGAATGCAACTCGAGCCAACCGAGATACCCAACCCATTTGTTCTCCGTAATCTCGCGTAGATCGAACCCATCCTGGCCAGCGTCGACAGAGTACCCGTTAACACTAAGATAGCTTCCCCAGTTCTTGCCTTCCTTCCAACCGTCTTTCTTGGGCCTCCAGACTTTGGTCAGCGTACTGCCTCCGCCCACGCTGTCTTTCCCTGGCCCCTTGTCATTTTTGACTCCTATTGCCTCCAAGTCAACTTCCGACACCTCGCCTTGTCCCATCAGGATGATGCACCTCATCCCACAAGTCTTGCAAAAGAGGAAGTGCAGGTCTTTCTGGTGAACCGAATAGTCCCCAAGGTCCTCGTATGGACTGAGAGGCTTTAACAGAAGGAAGTCGTCCGGAGACGAGGCAAGACGCATGTGGAAGAAACCCGCCTTGTGACAGGTAGTGCAGTTGCACCTGTAGAACTCTTGATGAGATCGAGGGGTAGTCGCTTTCGGTGGCCGTGGTGGTGGTAGGGTATGTGGGAATGTCAGGAACACGATGTATTGCGTTTCACCGCAGTGGCATGAGCCTCTATACGGCCGCCTCGTAGGAACTTCCATTGTCGTCATGGCTTCCAGCTCAATGTGCTGATTGCTTCATCGGAGGTTCAACTCCAGAAGTGAAGTGCTATGGGAGTGGCATGGATCTGAGGCTTCTCGTGAAAATGTCTGCCGGCCTAACGCTTCGGAAGCGGGGTAATTGACTGCACGCATGTCTGCATATTGTCTGACGTTACGAAATTCCACCATCCAATGATTGACTTTAGTCAACTCCCTGTAAATGATCTTGTAAGCAAGCCATGTTCCGTGCACTTAATACGCTAGCAACAAAATTACGGCAATAAAGAAGGGGAAAAGAAACACTCAAATAGTCCGCAACGAGTCTCGAAATCAACATCTTGTATTAGCTGTCTGACTGCCTTCCATTCCCGTTACCACGGTATCGGTCCATGTCTGTTGGAGAAAGATGCGGTGAATCCATTGGGTTCCATTGTTGCCAATTTCACTGCTTGGATAGAGCCAAGTGATGCTTCGTCAGTGCCATTGTAACTGCTCATGTTGGTACGGCAGTAGCCAGGGCAACAGACGTTGACCTTCCATGATGAGTCGTCTCTGAATCGTGCAGCAAAGGTCATTGCTGCATGATTGAGCGCAGCTTTGCTTGAAGAATATTCCATGAACTCCCCAGGAGGATACTTTGCTTTTGGATCGGTCCGAGCGGTCAGACTCCCTAGACCAGAGCTCACGAATACGATGCGACGTGTCTTTGAAGAATTGTGGAGAAGAGGCATGAAGGCCTCCGTGACGGCAATTGAGCCAAATACATTGGTGTTGTAAACGGTTGCAAGTTTTTGCCGAATTGAATCCTCTGGGTTCCCCGACAAGACCGCAGCGTTGTTGATGAGTACGTCTAGGTGTCCGAATTTTGCCTCGACACTTTTCACGGCCAATGCTATGCTTTCGTCGGACGTGATATCCATCACCAGGGGTTCGACATTGAGTCCCGCAGTCTGGAGCTCCGCGGCCGCTTTCTCGATAGCATCCTGCCGCCTTCCTGTCATGAGTACACGGAAGTTGGGGTACTCAGAAGATAACCGTTTTGCAATCTCATAGCCGATTCCTTGGTTTGCCCCAGTCACAAGAGCAATTGTTGGATCTGCCGACTCTTTGGACATAATTATATTCTTCGATTGGCACAGATTTCTGCGGTTTGCTGATGTCGTGTAATGGATTTAGGGATGAAACGGGCAGTTTGCATAAGTGTGTTTTGAATTTGACGACTCGGGAGGAGAGGAGGGAGAGCTCCCACTTATAAAGCGACACAAACTCAAAGTATGGTTCAATGAATTACGACAGGACGACTTTCATATACCCGGGTGTTTATTCATCATAATGCTTGCTGCGGCAAATCCCCCCTCACGGAAGGGGATACTTAACTTTGATCCCAACTCAGCACCCCCGGGTATTCATGTGGTGAGCCCCCGGCCCCCGGCACGGCGTAGTCGGCTCGCGGACGTCATTGACGTAATGGTTCAAAGAGCATTACCCCTCCGGCCGCGAGAGGTTATGAGAAACAACCCAGCTGGCTAGGATTTGTCAAGTGGTGACCAGTAGAGATACAAAGCGCGCACGCGCAAATAAGTCTTAAGCCGAAAAAGTCTATCGTAATATTTTAGAGATGAAACATGGTTTGACCCAATGCAAAAATACACGAGGCAGTACATACATCCTAGCGTTAAAGACTTTACTCTACCCAGAAATAACAAATAGCTGACGACCTGGCATATAAGATAACAGCATCGCTAGGGAAAATATACTTGTCTAGACGTATTTGCGCCGAAATTTATACACCGGAAATGGGAATATGAACAAAAAAGACTAGGCCCTAACCAGGGATCGAACCTGGGACCTCTCCCACCCTAAGGGAGAATCATACCGCTAGACCATCAGGGCTGATAATTCATTGGTTGATATCTCGGAGACCAAAATGGTTCATTTACATACGCCAGAAATTAATGCCAAGCAGTATACTGCTATTGCTTAAGACTCTTCATTACCGACTTTCCGGCGACCTTAGAGATCGGGGAAAAGAAAAGAAACGTGCAGTTAGAGATCCGCCTAGCAAAATCATAAACAATATACAATGCAATGTGTCAGACGAATGCTTACATACTGATTCAACCACCGCAGTTCGCCCCAGGTTGGTACATAGACCCCTCATGGTCTCAGCACGAGCATGCAAACTGCTGTTCTCTTATTTGTGATCCTCAAGGAAGAACCATCTGCTGCCAGGATATTGGCATTTTTCCCGCTTGATAATCTTGAGATGTGGATTGCGAATGGGCTCGGGTCCGTAGACAGCTGCTGCTGCATCCCATTGACTGTTCATCTGTAAGAGGGAGATCGGGAGTGTTCGTATACTCTATAGGAGGGCGGAAATGTGATGCACCACGTGAAACATAAGAAAGCTAGCGGCATTTTAGAGAATCATATTCTGGTAATCCTTGGTAGCCATATCTCCGACCCCCAGATGATTGAAGAAACGACCGTCAGCTCACCACCCGGGGTGGACGAATGTTGTCACTACAAGTTTTCGATCGCCATCTTTCTTATATGTCACCATGAAAGGAGTTATGCCAGAAGAGGAGGGGGAGGAGATCAGGCCTGACCTACGCGCCAGTCAGTTCAGCTATTTCACATCATATTTAGCAAGCCACTTACCCATATGCCCATCTCTGTAACAAATGCATGATTTCTCTGTAAGGACTGTATCTGTAGTGGACGAGCTACCAGCAGTTGTTCTGCTGCTGATCCTGGGGAGGAACTCTTTGGGCATTGTCAGAGAACTTAGGTGGTGTGCTAAGCCCGTCCATAAACCGTTCAGGCATATATCTAAAAGGTCAGTCAATGCTGGCACTTTATGCCAGCTTGAACCACACATACACTTGTTAAGGCACTATCCCCCGCATGCCCTTACAGGAAGCTTGCTCGCGACCTTTAGGGCCCTACATGACGCCCTGCCGGTGCGCACCACTTCACCGTTGGCTAGAACGAGATCCATACTGCACTGCATCATCCAGTGGTTGCCATAAGGGGTAATTAAAAACCCAACTCTGTGATTCACTTCGTTGCCGATCATGAAGCTATACCAAAGGCCTCGAGAGTCCAACCAGAGCTTGTTCCGCAAACCATTACCGCCAAGGTATTTCTGCATCTGGAGATAGGTCACGTCAGGCTCAACATTGCAGTATCAATCCTGGGCACTGATCTCCTACCTTTACCATGGCACTAGTGACCATCGCGAAAAACTTTGAAACCAAAGGCGATGTGCTGCCGCGGTCTTCCCTCAAGCACGTCCAACGCGGTTACCTCCATGTCCAACAATAGCACCATCACAGTTGACCTTCCTGTAATCCAGAGCACCAGTGGTGGTGAAATAGATTTGCACCACTCCCAAATAGCCTACTCGACCTTGTGGAGTCATAGAGGCCTGAAGAGAGGGCACCTCACTTGTGCGTCTTCTGCGATGTTGTCGTGCCTTCTTTTGGAATCCCAACGCCAAAGGCCAAAATCAAGCCCCTCCTTCCTACGATGGGTCGACTTTGGAGCCGTCTTGTAGTATTACCAAGGGCAACGACGGCGGTTATTCGCTACACTTTTGAGACTCTTGGCGACACCGCTGGCTCAGCGGAAGACCCTGTTCCTAGAAAGATTGGTCGATCTTTGAAACCAATTTTCACTCATTTGTCATCCGATGTTGATCTACAGTGGTACAAGCAGGTCATGAAGGAGCGGTTCGTCACTCCCGAAGAAGCAGTTGCCGCTCGCCAGAACATGCCGCCGCATTTTGAGCGCGTCCAATAGCCTTTCTTGCCTGCGATATAAAAAGGTCTAAGCGAAGTCTCAAAGCCCACCTCTTCCCAGTCATGAAGCATTTAGCGGCGGGGGGGGACGGCATCAGACCTTGCCTTCGCCTTGATTCCCAAGCTGCAGTCATTCGGTGACGAGCTTGCCGCGACAGCTCGAAAGTTGCAGAAATACCTGGCAGCCTGCAAAGAACTTTGTCTTGTTGAGATGATGGTTATCGACTGCATCGATCTCATTAAAGCGAGCGTTAAAATTTACGCGCGAGGCTTGTCGAACTCCAAGTCCGTGCTGGCAGACGTCTTCACGCTTGGTGGTACTCAGACTGATGAAGCGATATTGAAGGGCGTTGAGACCGCAGAGAAGACCTGCCATCGCTTGCTTGAAGAGCCGCAGGTCATGGCCCATATCAGCGCAAGGATGCTCGAGACATGGGGAATTTGCACAAAGGCATTGCTTTGCGTTGGACTTGAGACGAGTAGTAGAGCGCATCAACATCAAGGCGCACTTGCCATGGGGACATGGACAGACAGCACGTATCAGTGACGCTCAAACGATCGAAAACTTTACGCAAGTGTTGAGTAATTTGGACATGTGCAAGTCAGCAGAAAAGTTCCACAGAGGAGCTTTGGCGACTGCTGAATTGTATGTTGACGCTTTCTTGTCACTGCCATCCATCAAAGCTAATCAACTGCACAGGCCAGGGGGAGACTACACCAAGCCAGGTGGCTTGTTCTACGTTTCCCACCATTAGAACGAGAATGTCGTTGTATTTCTCTTCGAAGACTCAGGGTAATTAATGTTCAGGTTCAACGTAGAATTGATGTTAGGAAGATAATCTGGATAACCTCAATTGTCATATTAGATTTCACATTTATGTGTCAGTGGCACCGCGAGTTGGGCGATAACATGGTATATAGCAGAAGAATACATAGAGTGGTTTAGAGAACTTATGTTCCTATTGTACTCGAGGCGTCTGAAGTTTTATGCCTATTCAACTTCTCCCAAGTGACGTAAACAACGCCCACGGCTGGGCTTCCCTCCTCGTCTCTCAACTATCATCATTACAGCAAGCTTCGCCTTGCTATATTCACCATTAACAATGTGGGATTCAAATAACACTGGTCCCTAGGGACTAACCAACAGCAACACTGCACACATTTGCCGAACGTTGCCGTCCGGTCGGAACACTTCCCACGCACTAACCGTGTGAGCTAGGGAAATCGGACAAAGCAAAGTGACTCGCGAACTCTGCGATGAGAACGCGAAACCGATCCAGCATGGCTTGAGAAACACGGTAAAGCAAAGAACCGGAGTCGTGGTAACATGAAACCTTCTTGGGTAGCAACGAACTTGTCGCCATAGCCGCCTTTTTATATTATGTTTTCTATTTTCTGAAGTCAATGAAACACGAACTTTCCGTACATCCTAAATCGACCCATCTCATCTCAATTCTGTTCGCTCCATAGTTTCACAGCATCCAGTCCTAAAAAGTCTAATCCCCCCCAACCTCCAAAGTTCAGCCAAGTTCATGTCCACACCATCACAGACGCAGAGACGCAGCCTTAGAGGAATCACCAAATATATATGCAAGAATCCCACAACACTACGGATCCCCTTATGACAGATATGCAGTGTATCATTCTATCAAATATTAACACATGGGACATTACGCAACGTTGCATTCATGTCTATCGGACATGCCACTTCTGTTCTATACTTGATCCTAATGTGGTGCGTAAATACATTGACCAGTGCGTATTACGTAGTACTACGTGCAGTATTTAACTGAACCAAGTCGCGCTCTGTCTTTCTGTTAGAATATCGGCATCGGAACAACCCGAATGCCGGCATCCGTTTGCCAGCCTATTTCTATCCGGCTGCTTGGCAGCCCCCATGTTCTTCCTCCTTTTCCCTCCTTAGAACAGCAGCAACAGATAGACCATTTCAATACTATCTCTGTTCACCCATTCGAATGGCCCTGTGATACCAACACTTTCTATTGCTTACCACATCTTTGTTGGCATTCAAGCCCCTTTTCTTAATTCAGATCAAGCACAATTATTTGATTGTAGATAGGTAACAATATTCACTAACTAAGATCAAAATGTGTATACCTCCTAATACTCCTATTACCAAGCGCATGATCATTCCAGTTAGAGGAACCAAGGAAGACTGGAAGGAGCCCCTCAAAGCCTACCTTCTTGCCTTGAAGCAGCAGAATGGCTACCTCCGTAGTCGCTGGGGGCCTTGGTCTGAGAACGAGCAGAACCTCGATCTTCTCTCTGGTATTCAAAGAACCTTGTTTACGCCACAAGATGGTAGAATTCACCTAACAAAAGCCAGGCTGGAAATCAAAAGAGGCTCACGACAAGTTCTTCGCCTCTGCGGAACTCGCAAAGCTGATGGAAGATTTCAAAAAGGTCATGACCGGCCCCATCAAGTCATACTTCATCAAATTTGTCCCTTATGCACCTAGAGCAGCAATCGATTCTCCCATCGCCGAGTTCATCACCATCAGCAGTCCGTCTATGGCCGAGGACGAGATGAGGGAATGCGTCGAAAATGCCCGAATCATTGACGGGCTCAATGACCTTGCCAGTGGTTTCGCCTACGGTGACGTTGATGGTAGGAAGGTATTTGTTGCAGCATTGGGCTGGGAGAGTCTCGAACAGAGCAGAGCGGCCGACAAGTCAACCTACATTCCCTCCACTGGAAAAGTCGAGCGCCATCATGTTAATTTTCATTTTCCAATCGCGGGTTTCTCAGTTACCAATACCCACTAATCGGAGAGGTGCGAATTCGGTATGTATCTTCGCTACATTTAACTGGTTATTTTACTGGCCATAGCGAAATTCCACTTTCAAGCAATTCAAAACAGAATTATCAGGTTTTAGCAATGTGCGGTCAAAGTTGTCATCTAATTTAGCTTTTCGGGAATCCCCAATAGACAGGGATACATGAGAAAGCATCTCGTACTGAACAGGGTCCTGGGTCCTAACTTACAAGTGAGTATACCTAGTCGCTCAGCTCCACAATATATTACTCTTGCATGGGGATTTCACAGTTGGAACTGATACGTCAACCTG